AGTCCTGGCAGAAGGTGGGCTCCGGCTGAATGTCAAGAAGACCAAGTTCCTGAGCTCCGAAGAGGGTGCAGAGCCGATCGTGGACGGCCATGGTGAGACCATCGAAAGAGTGGAGGACTTCCGCTACCTTGGGAGCGATCTGGCAGCCGACGGTAGTGTGGATCAGGCAGTGAAGGCTCGGGTCAACGCTGCATGGATGAAATGGAGGGAGTCCACTGGAATCCTCTGCGATCGAAGGTGCTCCAGAACGCTCAAAGGGAAGGTGTACCGGACAGTGGTAAGGCCTGCGATGCTATACGGCAGCGAGTGCTGGCCCCTGAACAAGAATCACGAAAGGCAGCTTCACTCCGCTGAGATGAGGTCTGCGGCTGGACGCGGCTGGACAGGGTTAGAAACGAGGACGTCAGAGCGGTCATGCAGACTGCCCTGAAGGTACGGGAACAGCGTCTGCGATGGTATGGGCATGTGCTAAGGAGGCCACAGGACCATCCGATAAGAACAGCGATGGACTTCGAAGTGCAAGGCAAGCGACCGCGAGGAGCCCCAAAGAAGAGGTGGAAGAGACGTGATCAAGAAGGACCTAGTGAAGGTCACGGCCACGGCAGAAGATGCCCTGGACAGAGCAAAGTGGCGACGACTGACAAAGACAGCGGACCCTGCGACTGCGCGGGACTACTGCTAGGGAGATTTAGAAGAAGATCCACGTGCATCGGTGTTTTACTATCATCAATTAATCTGAGAAGAGAGAATTATCGGTGCATTGGATTAGACTGAGTCCTCGCCCCCATCCCTCCCCCCAGGTCCAGCTTTCCGCAAAGTTTTCGCCACACGTTAACGAGGGTGATTTCATGAACATAAAGATTTTTATTGGACAATTATTACACTAGTTATCTCTGATCTTGTTGTTATGATGGGAATGGAGCCGTAATAATGAAGTGAAAATTTCCAAGAATCTTCACAGATGCTTGGAGGGGAAATTTCCTATCTTTTGTGAGCAACTGTGCATAACCCTCTGAACAAGCGATGGATAGTAGGGCAAAGTGGAGCTCGAACTACTCTGTCAAACAAACTTCAAGATCAAATCATTAGAAACGTTTTACTCTTTGAGTGGTCCCGCCTAGGGTACGAGACTTCCTGCATGACTGTTCTTTTTTTGTTTCAATGCACAGAATCCTTTTACTTGAGATACATCTTTGAATCGTGGAATAATCTCTTCAACCACTGGATTGCTGGCCACTACTAGTTGGCAGTCCTGATAAATCAATTCACTTCTCACTGAATTGGCAGCTCCACTAAATGAGAACGTGAAAACGCATACCAGAAGGAATATCCCGTCCTCGAGGGGTTTTCAATGAATATTCCGTGCTCGTGGTCGAATTACGCTTTTGAGCTCATTGATTCTTTAAAGCGAGAGATTACGATAAAGTGCGTATGCAGCGTGGAAGTACATGCACCATTGGAAGCAGTAGTCAGGGGCCCAAGGAAACGAAATGTTGCGTTTTTGTGGTCAAAGGTGCGCTAGTTGCAGCGTACAAGGCTTGCCATTCCTTTCTGAGCCCCGCCACGGTCTGTGCTCCGCCCCCAGCAGCAGCGCCCTTCGATTGCCAATGTGACGAGATATTCCACTTCCAGAGTGTATCCTATAACTTTTCATGGGATGCGTGATCAATCAAAGCATGATGCTTGCTGAAATGATAGAGGCTATCAGCATAACATGTGCAAACGACCTCCTAATTGGTTGCTAGCTCGTCCATTATCGGAGGTCAACGGGCAAAGAAAGGGTCCCATTTTGCGCCTTCTTGACGGATTTCTTTGCTTTTTTTCGCCACTGGGGCATTATTCAGCATCTCCACTTCCACTATGAACCCAGTCCAATCTTATCGTAATCCCTCGCTTTAAAGCAGGGAAACTGTTAAAAAGTAGTACATAAAATTCAGTGAAATTTTGGAAATTTGGAAGAAAACATTTAGTTCAGGACTGAAGGAACCAACCCAGCCGCCCATATATCAATACCAAAATTGACTCTAGTCATTACTCTTTGGAATATATTTCTCTCAAGTTTTTGCTCATTCTACATCTTCACCTAGTTATCCTGTCAATCCACATTTATTCGCCATGGCGTTGTACACTAGCCCAGGTTCAGATTTCAGTCACACTAGACATCAGTCCGAAACGATGCGAATGTGTCGTATTATTAGCCAACACAGCGACGAGATTATCTCGCAACTACGAATAGCGCATCGTCTCAGAACTGGTGAAGCTTTGAACCGGAAAGTCAACCCATACATTTCGGTCTGTTAAAGTGCCCTGAGTAACGTGCACAGGTTTTGGTTTCTATAAGGTGACTCTCTTAGCGTTAGCTCTTTTTCTTCCTCAAAAAAATGTTTACTGTGAAAAACTGGTTCGATTTATTCACCCAAATAGATTCCACGGCTTTCGCTAGCCCCCTATCGTAACAGGGTGAAAATCGTGTCGAGGAAATAACCGCCTCTTTACGACCCCCCTCCAAAACATGGACTCTGATACGACCCCTTTTTGTCCTCTGCACATCCGGTTTCATATCAAAAAATGCTAGTTTCAGATGTGCGAGAGGGACGCAGCGCCGCTGCCACGCAAATGCGGCTTGATCCAAATGCTAGATTCAATTCTGCTCAGATTAGGTTCTCCTTCTTTCCTTTAAAGACATTTAACCTTTGCCACATTGGCCGGAAAGTAGAAGGAGGTACTGCCCCTACACAGTTGAACAGTCTCGCGCTCCAGTATAGCGGCGCTAACTACCCGCGATCGCGTCGCGCGCTGTGCCTAGAGCGCGCTAGTTGGAAAAATCGTCAAATGTACCCCCTATTTAAAGGACTATAACTTTCTTCATTGATAACCATTTCAGAAAGTGAAGGCAGCTTTTGAATGCACAAGACTTCTAGTTTCTAAATTGTGCTGAGCGTTTTTCTAAGCACGCCTATTCTCGAGAGTGGGAGACGTCGAGAAATTGTCGAGGAAATTGAAATTTACATGCGAGTTCCCACTCTTTGGAAGACAGTAGCTGTCTTCATTGGCAATGCTTTGAAAATCGGAGGAAAGCGTTGTAAAGTAGAAGATTTACGCTTTCTGATAGGTGCTCCAGTTGTTTCGAACGCTTTCTAGTTCGCGAGAAATCTGCGTCGAGGAAATGTCAAGGAAATTTTCGAAGCCACTCGAAAACTCTATTACTCCCTCGCCGTAGTAGGGAACTTCTTTGAACACCTTCAAAATACTTCTGTACGCGTCAGTTCGATGGAGTAAATTGAAAATGATGCACTTGGCGCGGATCCATTCCGTTCTTGTATGCGCCATGCAGTGACCCCACTCGGAGTCATTGGGAAGGTGTTTTGTCCTAGTGACGACTTGCTTAAGCACACCAAAAGATATTTCCAGTATTAACTAATTAGGATAACTCTTGTGGTCATAGTGATGTCTGATCATTCCTTTATTCAAATCGCTTCCTTTCCAACCCGTTCTGATGAATGACACGCTTGCGGTTGCAGGATCTGATGATGCCAAGAAGGCTGCGAATCTGCCTGTTTTGAACTTTCTACCAAGATGCTGTTCCTCCACTAAGTTCTCGAAGCATGTACATCATTCTAGAGTAGATACTCGCTGCCCTTTCCCTACGATTCTTTTGCAGGACGCGTTGCCTTCCTATGCCATACTGATCACTACGAACCAAACCAACAACCACTTTCCATTTAAATTTTAATTCCAGACAGTTGTAAGATATTATTTGCATTAGGCTAACTACAACACTTGTGAAACTAATGATGACAGCAAATAAGTGGCAGCAGCACCGTTGTGTCCGTTGATGAACCTTTTACGACCCCCTCCCAACTCTCATCGGAGCAAATACGACCCCTGTCGAGGATTTCCTCGACCGTTATTCACTCCTGCATCGTAATCCCTCGCTTGGAGCGTGTTTGATAGCGAGCCTTTCTTTCACTACCAACCTTCGAATCTTTTACGCTGTAGAAAAGCAGCCTTTCCACTTCATTCCGAATTTGAGTAAAAGATCCCAGTAAGTACGCTCAGGGTGCCCGAGTAGCACTCGGGCACGCTCTGGGTGCCATGCCTAGCAATTAACTTATTGATGGGAGATAAACACTAGCTCCCAGCTGAAGGCATGTTCCATGCCTGTCATTAGAGTGAAAAACAATTAGACTACTGCGGCCACTTCCGTGACGTGATATTCACCCTGATGCCTACACGCGAACGGATTCTGCAAAACTGTGCTCTTTGTGTGCACGTCGCCATTCAGGCTATGAGATCTCTTTTACGCACTGCTTTTCACTGCTTTCCGCCAGGCGGGTCATTGAGGGGACCGCGCATTTCCAAGGCAGTATTCTGCATGAAGTGGGGCAAGTGCAAGCAACCCAAAACTGTGCTTCACACTTTCTCGCGTTTCCCTCTATGTGCAAAAAAGGCTGAATGACCGGTATATTTTTGCACTTTGGCGCCTTCACATTTTTGCTTGCAGTAAGGACTGATGTCCTAATTGTGCCATCAGATACCCCATTAGCAGTTTCAGAAGCTGATAACAACCTAGAACAATCGAGGTTGTGAACTCTACGCGCAGGCTCACAGCACAGAACTCTCAAGGCGTTAATCAGTCTTAACAGAGGAAGAACTTAGTTTTGCGAGAGCACTGGTGTCCGAAATTAATGAAATTCTCCTCGAAATTTCCTTTTTATTGTTTTCTAGTCTGAAGCAAAAAAAAAGAATAAATGTGAGCCGGCCTACGTTATTGTGACTAAACTACGGATCGAATCAGGCCTCAGGTAACCAAACTTCGAGGTTCGATTATGCGCTCCTAGAAACAACAAGTGCACAATAAACAGCTTGGGTGGCTTCATACAGAAAAAGTCGAACTCTGAGTAATTCAAGTTAGGGGAGCGAGAGGAATGAAGTATAAACCACCGTGTACGAGCTAACTCGGATTTCCTCATCGTTCGCATTAAATTTAGGCTGATCAGCTACGTGTACTCATGTGGAAAACAAAATGCTTCTCTGATGAGGACCGAAAAGTTTCTGTCTGCCAACAGCTCACTCACGTACCTGTAATTGTGCTTCGGATTCAGCGGAAGACATGGCCAAAAGAATCGGAGTTTCGTGAATTTCACCAGTCCCCAAGAGAGTGCGACCAGTTTGATACATGAGCCGAAGAACACTGGCCCTGCTAATGAGAGTCGTGGCTCGTTCGTAAAGAGTACGTTGAGCAAAGCTGGTAGGGGAACCTGAAATAGATGTGCCACATCAGGAATAAGGTGGTTCTTACTGTAAGGTCCTGATTGGTTGCTAGGACCTTATCCACATTCCAATTATCGCTTTCCATTCTTTCCCTGTGTCCTACTGAAGTCTCACCATTTTTGAATAGAGCTCATAGAAAGCTACCAGAACTGGTGAATGCGAATAGAACACTCAACCGTTGGCTTAATTTTTTGAAATATTGAATTCGAAAAATTGCGCTTGAAGATTTCAATAATGATAAGATGAGCAGCTTCAAATAGTATAACTAGTCAAAGAGAACAGGAGCGTCTTTTCTGGCTCTGCATTCGATTTTTTTACCTTAGTATCCTACTACTTGAGAAGAGCACTTCTACAGAAAGGTTGCTTCAAAATCCAACTCCGTAGAGGTTAAGAGTCTTGGAACTATTCTGGCCCCATAACCGTGCAACAGCTATGCAAATCGTCTAAGCGTCAACCATTTTCGTTTACTCCACTAATCAAAGAGGTGCAGACAAATAACATATTTCAAGAGCTACTTACAGCTGAATGTGATTCAAGGAAGTAAATTACGAATGAAATTTTCTCAGACACTGAAGCTAAACATAATAATTACTGTATCACCATGTCTGGTGACATAATCCAAGGTTGCCGAGAGCGATGTGACGATTCAGAAGTAAGATAGTCTAGCAAGATAGTCATCCCTCAACATCGCTGTCAACTTGTAACATTGCAGCTTTACTCAGTTCGCCTCTTTATAAATTGCTTGCTCAGAAGGCTGAGACAATTGTGGCTTTTTAATTAGCTTCTGATTACTTCTGTGAGGCATGCTCCCAATCATCTTGCAGCGAGTGAGAAGAGCTTCCTATTCATTATAGAAGGGGTGCAGCGCACAAGAAGTGGTCAGAGGCATAAAGAGCAGCATTTCCAGTCGGGCGCGGAAAAAAAAGTGGGATTATAACTTTGCTTAAGTTCAGAATATTTTGCTCGCAAAGCGTTGGAACTCTAACCCTACCGATCTCGATATTGTAGAGCTTGGAAGAGGGATAGATTAGCATGCGCGATGTACCAAATATTCCTACATAACGACAATATCTGGCGGCTTCTTATTGGTGATAGAATGGGTAGGGATAGTGAGGTCCGAGAACAAAGTTCAATAACAAAGTGTGCGAAAACGTGTCATGTTGTCCTGAAGAAATGCCAACATTCCGGAGTGAGAAGAATTTTCAAGTCTGATTACTTTGCATTTTTAATTGAGTGCGCTGCTTTGTGCTGTGTTGTGCTTGCGCTTTAAAAATCGAAGCGTTCTCGGTTCCTTTCATCGTTCCATGATTCCTGGAGACTACATATTGTAGTTTATCACCACTACTATTAGGCTTGACAAGTCTCAGCTAACTATTGTAGCTTTCGGAGCGTTACCCACTTCAGCTTCCGTACACCGGAAACTTTTCCATGCTACAAGGGACTGGCACCAGCTCACCAGCAAGATTTCTAACAGCGTAATCTATTATGACCATGCTCGCGCTGTGACAGCAAAGGTGCTCGCCAGTACGCCTAGGAAAGGAATCGGCTATCGATGAAGCCGCGTTTGAGCTCCAATAATATAAGAGCTTTGGGATCTCCATCGTGTTGTTTTCTAATCCTTGAATGAGCCTCTTCCGACTGTTCCAGAAATGTTGAAGGCAAAGTCCTGGCTCAGCCACGCTGAAGTACTCGCTCTCGCGGATAGAGGTGTTTGGGCCGCTAAGAGATCGCGCTTAATTCGCATATCGAAACGCGTCACAAAACGCCTAGACACTGAGGACTTGTTTCAACTCCCACTTGAATTTTCAGTGCCCGCCCACCATTCAATGTTTCATTCTATCTGTAACTTCTCCTATCTCACATTCTCTCTTATCTCCCTTCTGCCTCCTAGACTAAAGAGTAGAGCAAGAAGGGTTGTAATTCCGGTGCTTTTGTTGATTTTCTTTCCTTTTTTCCCCACTTGCGGCCCACCTCTTATGCCTGCTTCTCTATTTGAGTAGGATTACGAAATCATCTCAAACCCTGATAATTGCCTTCATCTAGAGGTTGGCTAAAAGACGGGGTCGTTAAGCGAAATCAGAAAGATTATCCAGACTATTTGAAGGATTTTATAATATTATTCAAGACGGGACTGAGTAGTCCGGGCAGCCCCATTTTCACAACATAATTGTTCATTAATAATGTTTGCGAAAAATCTGGCAATAGTCGAATAGCAAAGCAGTTATTCATTCCAAATCGGCATGATTCCATTAAATCACTTCAACTGAGTGCGACTCGCTTCCATACACCGTTTGATACGGAACGAATCTGATTAGGGTTCGTATGGCGCTAAAATCTCATGCCCTCAGGAACGTGACGTAATGTATGGCCCATAAGAAGGTGTCTTTTGTGGTAAAACCACGAGGTAGCTGAAGTTTTTGAAATTCCAAAAACTTGGTTAGATTTTCCACAGCTTCATAACGGTCGCGTTCACCTACTCTGCCAGCGAAAGATCCATGCAAAGATTGCGGAAGCTACTTGCTCCCAGTGTGTGATAAGTGAAGGATCGGCGAC